AATAATAATAATAATAATAATAATAATAATATAATAATAATAATGATGAGATGATGATGATGATGAATAATAATAATAATAATAATAATAATAATAATATATAATGATAAGATAATAATATGATAATAATAATAATAATAATAATAATAATAATAATAATAATAATAATAATAATATAATAATAATAATATGATAATGATAATAATATATAGTATGATGAAATGATAATAACGGTAATTATGACAAGATCTTTAAGAGACGTATGTTTACTAATTCGTTCACTGATGTTCCTTAGATGAACTAACATCTTGTTAAAAGTGTTTAGTTGATCTGTGTTCGTTAATTCTACCAAGAAAGCGTGTTATCGATTTGTTTTCAGTAAATCCAAGAAAAAACATATTCCTCTTCGTTAATTACTGTTGATTAAATTGTGTTCGCTAAAACATGTTCGCTAAACTTGTTTCCTTTTCGGAATGTAAACAGTGTTACGTCACGAAGAGGGAAGGTTGAATGTGGAACAAATCTTTCGTGTTTTTTTCGATAATAAGCCGCGGATGAGATGTCAGGGGAGGGAAATAACACAAGAAAGAAAATCAGAGCTAAAGGTGAGTATTGAGAGAGAGATATTACGAAGGGGGAATAAGGAAGGAAGGAGTAAATAAGGGAAGGGGAATGAAGAATGTTGTGAATGGCTTCGCGCGTTCTCGTGAATGAAGTTATTGATGTATTTACTATGAAACAGCTTATGATTTTTCTTGTAAGAATTGATGAGTGTCAGTTGTTTATGGATCAAAATGGAAGGAATTTGGTAAAGGAATTGTTTCAGTCATACGGTACAAGGTAAACATTCCTGTAATGAACAAAATATGAAAGATTCATCTATATTACCTTAGTAAGTTGATAATAAGTATGTTGTGCAGCACATAATACTCTGGTACACGTTTAATAAAGGCTACATTAAGATGGGGAAAATTTGATGATACTGTCATGAAGAAAGGAGTAATTTTGGTAATTTTACACAATGGTCCAGCATAAAGAACCTCAATGAGTTTGGTATCAGTGGATTCCTCTCTCTCTCATGTATCCAAATATATAGAAATTATTAAACCCCACATTCTTGGCCTCAATAGCAGAGGAGAGCATGCAGGGTACCAAGGGAATTGTGGGGTGAAATATAAATGATATACACAGAATTAGTCACTATATTGTCTAATGCAAAGGGCTGAACCCCCCCCCCCCCCGCGATCCCCCCAATTTGGGGTTGCCGCAAAGATTCCTCCATGTATTGAAAGGCAGGAGAGAAGTCAGGACAGACTCGGCATCGGGCACTCCCACGTTGTTGTTCATTATAGACAGTATAGTGATCAATTCCGTGTATATTATTCATGTTTTACCCCACAATTTCCTTAGTACCTATCATGAAGGAGAAATAAGTGAATGACTGATCATGATGTTTCTCTTGGCCTTTTTATATAATATAGGCTGATATGTTCTCATTTTTATGTTATTTTCCCATGTTTTAATCCTTTTTCACTGTCATTATTACCAGGATCAATTCAAGTGTTGTAACTAAGTCTCATATACTGCATAGCATATCCTGCACCCAGTCCATAAAGACCAGTGTCAGTGATGTAATTTTATTAGGGGAGGGGAAGGTAAAAGGGTTAGTATGGGCAATAGTTTTATCTGGTTATGTTTTTTTTCTATTTTTCATGCTTTTCAAAATTGATAATCCATGTGATAATGATATCAGTTTGAGAATTTTGTCTGTTTTCACCACACAATGGTACATACTTACCAAAGGTTACATGAGGTTTTTCAAATATGTTTATTTAATTGCTTTCATCTAAGCTTTCCATCGCCATCATCCTATCTCTGCTCTTTATGCATAAAAATTCACATCCAGCTTTTCCCAAGTGTAGGTTCACATCTAAAACATGACCTTTGTCATGTTTTGTGTTCAATTGTCAAGTTGTACTTTAGTAAGGATTTTATCATATGGTTAAATAAATATAATTATGCATATGTGTTGCATTTTGCACAGAAATGCTTGTTTGTCAAAAATTTTCCTGTGTTTTTCAATAGATGTCTTTGAAGCCTTCTACTTAAAGTATCATCGGGATGACCTTTTGAACATACTCGAGAGCGAAGATGAGGACGAACACTATCCATTAACTATCAAGTAAGTTATCCTGAGCTTTCACTTTTGTAGGTTTTGTGTGTAATGTTTATTTATTTGGTATTTTAGAGACACACAAATTATTTGAAGTGTTGTCCTGTGAAGTGCTGTATAAGGTTTGTCATGTTTTGATTTTCTGTATCTGTATTTTCTCCATCTTTGATTTGGCCCTTATACTTGTATTGTTTTTCTTTCTTTCTTTCTTTCTTTCTTGTTATTTTCTTCTTTAATTCTTCTACTTTTCTTCTGTCCTCATCCACATCTCCTCTTCTCTCTCTCTCTCTCTCTCTCTCTCTCTCTCTCTCTCTTCTCTCTTTCTCTCTCTCCTGTCTCCTCTCCCTCCTCCCCTCTCCCCCTTGCCTTTTCTTCCTCCTCTTCCTCCTCCTCCCCAGTAGTCAATCCAAAGCTGTTCTCATATTTTCTTTATTTCCAGTTTCTTAACCTTATTTGAAGAACATGTTGAGGTGGCAGAGTCTCTCCTTGCGTCCCCAATCAAACTTCTTCCAGTATTAAATGCAGCATTAGTTGCGGCTTCTTCCAAGCTTCTTAGTGAATTGGGAAGTGAGAAGAATGACCTCACATTGAAGACGAAAGTCCATGCTAGAATAACAGGTTTGAGTTTCAGCATTGTGTTGTTCTTCTCTCTTTCTCTCTCTCTCTCTCCTCTCTCTCTCTCTCTCTCTCATCTCTCTCTCTCTCTCTCTCTCTCCTCTCTCTCTCTCTCTCTCTCTCTCTCTCTCTCTCTCTCTCTCTCTCTCTCTCTCTCTCTCTCTCTCTCTCTCTCTCCTCTCTCTCTCTCTCTCTCTCTCTCTCTCTCTCTCTCTCTCTCTTCTCATCTCTCTCTCTCTCTCCTCTCTATGTCTTCCATATTTGTATTTTAATGTTTCAGTTCCTTTTTTTTTGTCCTGCTCTTAATTTTCTTCCTTTTTCTCTTATTTTCTTCTTCTTTTCACTTATTTTTCTCCTTCTCCTTTACCTTTTTAGATTTGATTGGTTTAACCCCTCATTTATTTCTTGATTTCTCTTTTTACATTATTTGATAGATGAAATAACTCTCTTGTGTATTCCTTGGTTGTTGATTATTCTATGAAGAAAAAGTAAAGAACAGTGTGATTGATAGATTTTCATCAACTGCATGCTCATACTAAGTTTTGAAACCCAGTTAATTAAGACATTAGTATTTAGAATTTTAACCTTTTAGGCATTTTTCTACTCTTAAATCCTTGCATTTTATAAAAGTCAAGCTGTCAGCCAAGATCTGTCATTTATTTATCTTCAACATAAATATGCTTATCAACTTTCTGATTAAGTTGAACTTGTAGCTTAAAATTCGGAGTATTATTTAAAAACCAGTTGTTAATTAACTCTGCCAATCTTATTTTTCTCTTAATTGGGAACTGTCACCATTATAACATATTTGTAATTGAATATCTTTCACCAGGCTTACCAACATGCCCAGAACTGTTCCGTCATGCCATCCCACGTACCTCTGACATTGGGCGCCTCCTCTGTGTGGCAGGAACTGTTGTGCGTACAACAGCGGCAAAGATGCTAGAGTACCAGAAGGAGTTTATATGCGCCAAGTGCAAGCATGTGTTTACTGTGAAGGTGAGAGATACACTTTCATTTGTTTTGCTTTTCTATGTGTCATTTTTTCTAGCTGTTGATTACTTCTTCTTTTGCTTTTTTTGAATCTGCACTAGAGAAATTTTTTCTAGCAGATGATAAATTTTCTTTTGGAGTCTGCACTAGAGAAACTTCATTGCAATGTACAATTCGGGTAAATAATGTAATGCCGAAAATAATTCCCCCATTGGTTATTTTAGGTATTACATTATTTACCCACTTTTATTCCAGACAATCGATCAGTTTGTTAAAATTGTACAAGGCCCGACCCAATGAGTATTCATATATAAGGACCTGCATAGATATGTACAAAATAAATGCACATCTCTTTATCTATCTGATAGATATACATTTGTCTATCTATCTATCTGGTAGATATGGTTGCCTAGACAGATAGATATGTATTTATTTTTGTGTATATTCAAACATCCATAATGAATATTCACTGGGTCAGGCCTTGCACAGTTTTAACCAACCGGCTGATTGAGTCAGTCAGCTGTCCTTTTCAATGACCTCCTTTTAACCTTATTTTTCTAGGCTGACCATGACCAATACTATCAGCTCAACAAGCCCGGAAGATGTCCTAATCCAGACAACTGTTACTCCAACACTTTCAGCATGCTGGGTGAAACAACACACCCCGTTCACACCAAGGACTTTCAGGAGATCAAGATTCAGGTACACTGGCTATTCTGGGAATGGTTACTACTGTTATTCCCATTACTGTTATTTGCACAGTTATAAGTGTTATTGTTATTATTTTTATTATTATTATTATGGTTATTATTATTATTATTAACATTATGATCATTATCATTATCTTTTTTTCATTATTTGATTTAGACCAATAGTAAGGTCATTTTCATGCAAGTAATTTCAAAAGTCAAAAGGAAATTAAAATCTCAAAGGTTGCATTTTCCCTTTTTCCTAAGGAACAAGTGCAAAAGCTTGTGGTCGGAACAATCCCTAGATCATTATGGGTGACCCTTGAGGATGAGCTTGTGGACACGTGCAAGCCAGGCGATGACGTCCTCATCTGGTAGGTGGAAGCAACGCCTGGGAACGTATAGGTAGTCTTTTTGATAGCTGTCCTTCACTACTGTATAGCATTGATATTCTGTGTTTTTCCATTGTCTTCCTCTCTTTTCTTTTTCTCTCTCTCTTTCTCTTTTCTCTGTCTCTCTGTCTGTCTCTT